GCAGACTAGAAAACACGCAAAGTTGCAATCATTCAAACTGTTTTGTGTTTAAAAGCATGTACAATTACGTTGCTTTAAATCAGTGAAATAATGTTTTTTATTTTTTAATGAATTGGCTGACCGTGAAACGAGCATTTCTACAATGTATGGAAGCTTGTTTATGTCACACAAAAAAAGATAACTTATTTGCATGTTTTTTTCTCAGAATGTTGAGAAATAAACAAAGGATTGCGAGAAAAAAAAAATTCTTAATTTTGAGATAAAAAGTCGCAGTTACCTTTTTTATGCAGCATTCATGCCATTAGGCGACAACCTAAACACAACATAAAAATGGCTTTGTGCATGTTTAATATCTCCACTGCGTTCATCAACTTTCCACTAGAAGTAACAACACCTGCGTACAATATTTTCACAAATGTTGAGTTGTTCTCGTCAGTACTAACATAAGGTATTTCCTGTTTCTTTCTTAGCTTGGGTTTATGAAGCACTGGAGGCAGTCTTCTTGGCTTTTTATACGATGGAGTGTGTGTTAAAGCTCATAAGTTTTGGCTTAAAATACTTCAAAAGCCTGTGGAATATTCTGGGTGAGCTGGCAAATCTGTTGTTTTCTGTGTCATTTCTTATTCTTATTTAAAGCATAATTCTTGTGAATTTATTTCATGCTTAATGCAAGCGAAAACTATTTATCACTGGGGTAGGAAAATACATAATTCATGATGCCTTTTTGAGAACAAGTCTTAATACTTGATGCAGCAGTTTTGTTTTATTTAAATAGTGTTTTGTCCTCTTTTCCGGTCAAATAAATGATGATGCAAATGATTTTTTTGCAGTGTATAGGAACTAACATAACATGATGTTTTATTGTTTATTTTCCCAGATTTCTCAGTCACTTTGGTAGGGTTGGTAGACCTTTTTCTGGACAGTAAACAGTATGATAGTGAGCGTTTCACCACTTTTTTCCACCTCCTTAAAATGTTCAAAGTATGTCGAGCGTTCAGGATCTTACGCACACTGCGGTGAGTGTTTCAGTCTTTAACACCAAATGCACAAGCTGAAGTTTGAACTACCTAAGGTGGAATAGCGTGGAGCTGTTTTGCATTCTTTTTGTCCCAAAGGTAAAAAGAATCTAAGAACTGTGTCTTCATCTTAGGTTTTTCAGTGGTCCCAAGGTCATCATGAAAGTAATAGGAAAGTCTTTGAAGATGAATGGAATCATCTTCGTGCTCATGTTTTGCGTCTTTGTCATGTTTTCCATTCTTTTCCGACAAAACTTAAGCAAGTCCGA